CCACCATTCTTCTTCTTCGACTAACATATATATATATAATGTTATATTAATATACTTATTTAATATATTTAATATTATTATTTATTTAATATATTTAATAATATTATTTATTTAATATATTATTACATGTTTTCAAAAATTAAACCACCAAACACAGTTTCAGTTTTTTTTAAACTGAAATCAATCTCTGAATAAAATTACCAAACGCGTTTTTAGAAATGATTCCAAAATAAAAATAAAAACGTTTTTGTTTTCATTTTCATACAAAAAAACAAAAACGTTTTGGAAACAATTCCAAACGCACCAATAGTTTTTTCTTTTTTTTTCGAAATTATAGTACTCTACATTTTTAGGATTATCAAAAGATCATACCTAGCTTGCATTTTGAATAGTATGACATTTATATTTTTAGATTTTAAATTTATGATCAATTCATACATTTTTCTCCGTCAATGATCAACTTTTACCATGAAAAAGACATGAACACTCTTAAAGAAAAAAACAAGAATAAGAATAAAAAAATCGAAATAAAAAATTAAGACATATTTTAGCGTGAATTTAAAATATGAATGTACACATTCGATACAGTTTAAAATATAAAGTATAATTTTTTTGATAAATGTTTCTCATCCGAGGTAAGACTAGTTAGGCAAAATCGGCCATGCCTCAATTAATTTAAGACCCATTGTTTTTTCTTAAAACTTAAATCTTTAATACTTCAATTGACTTAGGTATTAAAGTCTAATGGTTTTTGAATTCTTCCAACGCTGATTTATTCTAAATTGGTAACAAGAAACTAATAAAACAAAATCTTGTTGGAAAAAAAAAGTTTCTTCTTTACATCCTTTGGTTAAAATTTTTAAAAATGCTTGGGACACCATCAATGTTAAACACCATCACCAAAAAAAAATGAACTCCACTTGTTAACCTTATGCTGTAGGATTCACCCTTTATTAGTGAGTGATGCAATGCTCTATAACATTGTTCTTAAATCACTTCCTTTCTCTTGAATGAAAAAGTCAAACTCCCCAAGTCTCTTGACCTAAGATATCCAACTTCATATTTTGTAATTTAACGATTTCTTAACTTTGAAATAAAAGAACATTTTTCTTCAAAAAAAAAATAAAAAAAATAATCGAACATTTAATTTGAAATTACAAAAATTACAACAATCTTTATTATTTGACCTATTGCTCATTTGATTATTTTTTTTATATACTTAAAGAGTTTGTGGCATTTTTTTGCTTTCAATTGAACGAACTTTTTAAGAAGTAACGATTTCTTAACTTTGAAATAAAAGAACATTTTTCTTCAAAAAAAAAAATAAAAATAATAATAGAACATTTAATTTGAAATTACAAAAATTACAACAATCTTTATTATTTGACCTATTGCTCATTTGATTATTTTTTTTATATACTTAAAAGAGTTTGTGGCATTTTTTTTGCTTTCAATTGAACGAACTTTTTAAGAAGTAATTTTAGAAGGTGATTGTCTTTTTTTTTTTAAATGAGTAATGTTTGCATCAAATAAAAAAAAAATCAAAGCCTGTATACTTTGTAGTGTAAAAATTACTTATTGCAAATATGACAAAATACATGTTAAAAATATTGATTTGGGACTGAAATTTGGAAACATTAGAAAGGTTATAAAAGCCAGTCAATCTATTTTTATTTCTACACTTTGAATATTATGAACACTATATTTTATTTTGTTATCCATAAGTTGAGCAGTCCCTCTCTCTTTTTTATACGACGACGACGACGACGATGAATATTGGCAGGCAGGAATATCTCTTACTTCTGTTAAGATTGTATTTTATGTTTTACGTGGTCACACATGACTAGCCAAAAGAAAAACACACGCACACAATATTACTATTTACAACACCATGAATCCTCAAGTATTAATCTCTGGCTTGGCGTAGGGAGTACGCGTCGACGTGCACGGCTGAATTATGCTGATTTATGCACAGCCCACCAACCGGCCCTCCTGTCCTGGCCCCAGCCACAACCCCTCCACCATTTCTTTTCCCTTTAAATCTTCACTACTCTTCCCATATTGCCAGTCTTTTTCCATTACCAAAACTTTCACCTTAAACCTTTTCGCTTCCCTCCTTTTCTCATTTTCTCTGCTTTTGTGTTTAAAGTCTCTACATTAACATTATCCTGCGCCGCCATCACTATCATGAGCGGGAGGAACCGATTGACCAAAACTGTACCACCGCCGTCGCCGATTCCGACGGGAAGAGGATCCCGCTCCGCCTCCAACGAGCCCTTCGACCAATTCCTCGACGGCTCGCTCCATGTTCCTGCCCTTTCTTTACCTGAGACGAGCGCTATTCGTCGCTCGGTCCCGGCCGAGATCGATCTCCAGTCGCTCGTCTCGGGCGACGAAGACTCTGTCGATCGGATTGTTAGATCGGCGAAGAACTTCGGCGTCTTCCGGATTGTCGGGCACGGGATTTCGGTCGCCGACCTGCGATCGTTGATAGGAGGAGGTGAGCGAGTTTTGGGACAATCGGAGAGAGAAAGCGCTGGTGAAGTGAGGAGGGTTTTCAGAGAAAGAATATTGTGGATCGGTTCCGGGATTGAGAGTTTGGAATCGGTTAGACGATTTGTCGGGGATATTGAGAGATATCGGGATCTGAGGTAAATCACTACTTTTATATTATAATGATAATGATGTATGTGAATCATTTTAACAAAAAGGTAACTGTCGTTGATATAATGCGGTAGGGTCAGTGAATCTGATTAAAATCACTATGTAAAATATATCGTTTTTAATAAAAATTTAACGAATGTAAAATTGAGAAATTTTCTTTTTTAAAACTTTCAAAATAATAATAATCATTATTATAAATAAATTAATTAATGGGAATAAAACAACGTGGTATTTGAATTGTTTGGGTTTCAAATTTTTGGGCATAACACGTTATATACGTTTTTCTAGGCGCTTTTACAATTACTAGTTGAGAATTGACACTAAAAAATAAGTGAAATGGTAATTGCCTCCTATTTTCATGTTTTCATGACTACCACTTCTATTTCTTCACATCCAATTTACATGACAAAGTCACCCAAACTAAAATCTATTAAAAAACAAACGATAAATCTCACCTCTTCTCTATTCCACTTTTTATGAGTTGTTTTTCGAATTCAACTTAGTTTAGGATTATCTTTTCCAAATCATGCTTTTATGAATTGTTTTTCGAATTCAACTTAGATTAGGATTATCTTTTCCAAATCTTTCAACTCTTTAACCATTGCAGTATATCTTCAGTGCATATCCAGTATTTTTTTTGAATTTGTCTCCCCATAACCTTAGCTAATGCATATCTCTTAGCTTTTATCTGATAGAATTTCTCTTGAAATCAAATGTCTGGCATTTTTTTTTCTGGCACAACAAGTAACCAAATTTGCAAAATATTTTCTTAAATATTGTTGCCATATGCCAACAAAAAACTTAACAAACATCAATCTCTAAATAATGCATTTTAATTATGTTAAACATTTGAAATGTAACTTTAGTATAAAAGAAAATTCCCACACGCTACCATGATTGCTATCTTTTGTTGAAATGTCCACGCTTGCTCTGTTTTGTTTTTGTTTTTGTTTTGTTTTTTTTTTTTTTTAATTTCTTCCTATAACTAGTTGAAAATACGTGTTATGCACATGTTGAATTTGATGAATTTTTTGATATGTGCATATAAAATTGTTTTAGAATTTCTTTTCCTTGATTCATTATTTTTTTCAATAATTTAGATTAGTATGAAAAAAAATTAAGTAGAACATGAAATAACGAAACAGACATGATTTAAAAGCTTAGAGTAATGAGGAAGCACGTGAGAGTAAATAATACTTAAACGGGTTGCATGAAATAGATGTTTAGCAGGAACTTAAGTATGGGTGTTAAAGAAAAGCCGAGCAACAGTGGAAACTGACTAATCCAAATCAAGCTGAATCAAACTGTTATGAATTTTTATAACACGATTTCTATTTGTTATTTTAGTCGGTTTAAAAATAGTAAAGTGCACCTCATAATTTTAGATATTATCGTTACAGATGAAAAACTTTAAAATATTCGAATGTTGTTATGTTAGGATTAAATGGAAAATTTTGAAATCATACGAAAAGCTTTAAACATTGTTGGTTAAACTTAAAGAATTCGTTAAGCTTATGTATAAACCGACCAAACTAACAATGAGTGGTTTGGTTTCTCAAAATTTTCGTTACATTTATTCACCTTTACAACAAAGAAATGTCCCTTGCACCCATGGATGAAAATATCAAGTATTGACGGTCGGTTTTCGTCAACGAGACTACACCGGATTACCCCTCAGTGACCCGTTGGGTTACCGGTTAAAACTTGTAATTTAACTGAATATTTTAGAAACGGTGTTTTCCCTTTGGGTTTATTGTGAAGGTTATTTGATACTGTGTTTTGAACGGAAGTAAAAACGCCCAGAAATTTATAGTGGTTCACACTTATGAAAGAAGAGCTACTTTCATTGTATATTTTATTTCTTTTTCGCTCTTCACGGGTTACATATAAATCCTCCCTCTCCTCTCTGGGGCTTTGCCCCCATTTATAGCCCACGGATTGTATGTGGGTCCCTTCTGGATGGGCGGTCACATGGGGTTTAATGATGGTTTTCCTCAAGTAGCATGTCATTTTACCTGCCTAGACTGTAGCCTTTTTAGCACATTTTGGACTGTTCACTCATCCAATTTGTCCCCTATTACAGCTCTGCAGATCCTTGGTGATCTCTATTGGTCCATTCCAGGCAGTTTAATCATTCCCTGTGCTACTGACCTTCTCCCAATCTAGACGCAATCTTGGGATCTCTAGCTTGTCACCTCCGAGGTTTAACTTGGGATGCGGGCCCATTTGCCTTTGTTCTTCCTTCGGCGCCTATACTCCATCTCGGGGCGTGGACTCTGTGTCGGTTGACCGTACTTTGGGTCGACGCCCCTATGAATCACCTTTTACGGTAAGCCTCTTCGCCAGATGGAGGGGAGATGAGTTTCCAGGCGTCGATAGCTATTTGACGTGGCAAACGTAGGGCAACGTGGGGCATGGTCGTTGTCTGACGTGTCAGCACATATTTTTCGATACAACAATTGCCCCCCAGGTCGAGGCTTTTCTTCATACTGCCTCGAGCTAGGTTGGGATCCGCTCCGGCGCTTTTTATCTGCTTCGGGTGTGGGAGCCTAACTCTGAGCCTACCTTGTAATGATGGCTCTAGCGCTTTGAACTCCCTCGAGAAGTGCAAACGTCGCATCGCTTTAATCATCATGCTGATGTGGTCTTTCATTTAAACGGACAAATTTGGATTGTGTGGGAGCCTAACTCTGAGCCTACCTTGTAATGATGGCTCTAGCGCTTCGAACTCCCTCGAGAAGTGCAAACGTCGCATCGCTTTAATCATCATGCTGATGTGGTCTTTCATTTAAACGGACAAATTTGGATCGTTGGATCGTGTCTCTGCAGCTTCCCACCCTTTCCCCAACCGTTAGATCGAATTCCTTTGCTTCCACCTTTCGATGCATACGCACCTGATGGGACGACTAGGGGCCGAGGGCTCTCAGGTACTATAAATAGTCTCTTCATGTTTGTCTGAACCATTTTGAAACAGCCGAAACTCTGCCAAAACTTCTCCAGGATCACTCACTCCCTTCTTGCCTACTTGTGAATCTTTGGCAATATTAACCTTAGTGTCCTTGCATCCCTTCTGCTCCTGATTTTATGGTAAGCATCCCTTGTTCCCCCTCTCTATTTTGATGTCTTTGCTTTGCCTTGCCTTTAGGTAGATTTCTTGGGGGGGGGGGGGGGGGGGGTGTGAATGGTTGAAAATGGCATAATAGGGGTATTAGAACCTGATTTTGGTATTATTCGCAATGTTATGGACTGGCTATGGGAGTTTTGAGTGAGTCTGGATTCTGGTTTGGCATTCTGGGTTAGTTTGAATGATCGACACTTTGTTTGAATGGTCGTCGTCTAGTTCATGTCTAAGCTTGAATCATCATCGCCTATTTGAACTATCGTCGTTTTAACTTTTGACTTTACTCGACCAAGCTTCCTAGGTGCCGAACTAACTTCCTCTTCCCTCTCAACTTATAGGATACTGATCTTAGATTTTTCCTTCACAGTAATGGCACCTAGGAGGATCAAACGTCGAGGGGGATCATCATCCGTGCTTCTTGTGAGGCCGAATCCATCTCCAACCGCCGAGTCTTCCTCCATTTCTACTGCCAGCGACCCGATTCTGAGTGAGGTCGAAGAATATGTCCCTAATCCAATGGATGATGAGGACAGCGTCGACTGCCTGGTCGAAGGTGAGCCGGAAGAGGGAGTTCCTTCCTTTTCTAGTGGCTCTGACTCCTTGGTCAGCGGTGTTATTACCGGCTACAACGGTCGACATGCTGGCGTGCCCGTGGCGCCAGTGGGGGTGGAGGAGGAGTGGCTGTCCTTCATAGCTGACTTCGTGGCACCGAAGACATGAGAGAGGGATAACGTCCACGCGTACAAGAAAGGACGCGTGGATGGTCGATGGTTCGAGTACCTCTTCCCGGACCCCAACTGTAGGACGGGCCTACCACCCCCGGGATATATGTCTGTGTATACCTGGCCTTCACGGCGGGGATGACATTTCCCATCCACCCGTTCGTGAAGGCCCTTTACGAACTCTATGGTATTTCCCCCACACAACTGGCCCCAAATTTTTGGTATATTTTTGTCGGTATGTGGGTATTGTGGGACCAAAGGTTTGATGTAGATCTGCCTTTGGATGAATTTCTTTATGTATATAAACTTTGCCAAGTCCCTAAGTGCGACGGCTGGTATTTTTTGGGTAGTTATGGGCGATCCAAGCCCGTTTTAGGAAAATTAATAAAGGGATTGCCGTCATCGTCTCATGCCTGGAAACCAATATTTTTTTATGGTAAATGGTATGTTCGATGTCCACCCAGCTGATAGGCTTTTTAAGCGCCTAGGGGTGTAGACATGTTTTGGGACATTAAGTGAGTATCCTCGACTGATTACTATTCAACTGTCATCACGTTTGTACATCGCTGACCCCATATTTTTCTATACAGATCCCTAGGACCAACATCAACTTTCTAGGAACCGACTCGCGAGGGTGACACATGCCTTTAGCTTCCCAGAGCATCAGCGCCCTACTGACGCGGGGCAACCTGCAAAGCTCTGGTCTCTTGCTTTCACTCCCTCACCCTGCCAAAACTGATGAGGTCAATGACTTCTTCGACTTCATAGTCGGAGGTTAGTTCTTTCCCCTTGCCCTTGATTTCTTATCACCGGTCATCTGTTAAACTTTTTAGCTTCAATTATGGTGCAGAGATGAAGACCTTATAGCTGCGCGTTCTGGGCAACAAAGGGCGGTCAAAGAAGTAAAGGCCTCGCGAGAGGTCGAACGAAGCTGTTAAGGCCAGTGTCCCACCGAAGCCTCAGCCTGCGGCAGAGCCTTCGACAACCCGGGAGGCACCGAGGCCCAAAAGGCCTCGGCCGACTAAAACGCCAGAGGTGGAAGCTAGGCCATCACCGGTAATCGATATAACAGACGCTCCTGAGGCCCCTCTGCCCAGGGAACGTCTGTTGCTTCCTAGGGTGAAGGTTGTGGATCCACAGTTCATCGT